GGAATGTAATGGATAAATATTTAATAAGTACAAATATTTTGTACGGAAAGGGAAAGAAAAAGAATATAGATGTGTTCGCGATGACGAAAAAAAGTGAATGACTGCTTTACAACACTCACAAACATCTATGCGTTTTATTGACGTCAGTATTTGTTAGAGCACGACAAGGCTTCACTTACCATGGTTTCAATATCAGTTCTTTTACTCATAGTATAAATATCATAACACAACAGCTATCACGTTTCCTAGTTATTTGTTCACTCTCTCCTTTTTCATTCTATGTTGTCAAAGTTTACTGTTTATCTCAGACGTCAGTTTTCTGTGCTATTTTCTATTTATATACAATAGTAATAACCTTTCACATATGCAGTGTGTTAGCTGGTCGCTTGTTTTTGACGTTTATTCATCGGATTCTTAGTGAGAATAATTGAATCTTCTGCAAAAACCTATTAGTGAAAAACAAGACTTCCATTGCTCTTTCATCATATCATTCAAGTGTCTGCTAAAAACAAAAATGAAATACACCTATAGTATTATTACTTTGTTTTTTCTCCTGGTTACTTCGCATTCTACCAAAACTAACACGATTCCATTTAATAACGACTGGCTACCTAAAATTGGTAATCTAACATCGATCAATTCTTGATCGATTCAACTCTTTTGGCGTCCATCATCTTCTTTTGAAGGCGTTGATATTGATAAACTCAATACAACAGGCTCCATCACTATCAGTAGGCTCGCTCCAAATACAGTATATCATGCCTGTTTTGGAACTGAATAGGACGGACAAAACATCACAATTAATAATGATACACGTCGTGATTTCTCTTCACCTCCATGTCGACTATTAAGAACATATGCATCCGGTAAGTGAAATGAAGAGTAGGAAAATTCCTACAATATGCTCATTTTATAAATGAAATCAAGCTAAATATTGAATATCTTTCAGCAATCTACGAGTTGTGTCAGTTAGTAAGGAGGAAAATTTTCTATAGTTATAAGTTTTTATTGTTTTGTAAGATTATTAATTTTAAAATTTGTCAATGATTCTATATTTTTCGCTGATTTCACAGATGAAACAACACTAAATCCTGTGCCTCCCGTCGGCAGTTATTCATGGGAAAAAATAGTAACAAATGCTGGTGAAAAAGCAATATTTATCCGTAACAGCGTGTCTTCAGAACTACCATACAAACAACGAATTATAAACGTCAGACTTGGTTTCGACGTACGAACGTAGATAGTAGAAGCCCCAGCCGAAAATGCGAATTTCTCTTTCAAACAACTAGATTCAAATGTACCTCATTATTCAGCAGTGATAACATTCATCATAAAGAATGAGAATGGTACACGAGGTCACTTAAATATAGAAAGAGTAACAATTCCTGTAGACGAAGAGAATGGCTATAATCGACTTTTCATTAACTTTTTCCTGTTGCTATTTCTTATATTGTTTGTCGTCTGCAATACCGCTTGATAATATATAATTTTTTATGAAGATTTTTCTTTAATGTATTGTATTTCTCGATATCAGAATTCATTTAAATTTTCATATGGTTCGACATTACATTGATTATGCTGTCGAACTATATTGATTTCGCTTGGTATTCTATGCTCCAATGAAAAATGTTTAATAAATTATGCTAACAGGTACAAAGAATTGTTAATATACTACGAGAGAAACGAAGGTACTTGCTGTTTTAAGGATAAAGATTTAAATAGCTACGTATTCATATTATTATATATATAATAAAAGATGGTGCGGATATGTGTCAGTGTAGAAAAAGAAGAATACAGGCGCAGCTAAACCTCACATACCCACACTCCACACTCTGAAGTTTTTATGCATATTCCTTAATGCATTTTACCATGACATAGAATAATGGCAAAGCATGTAATTAAGAACCGAGGAAAGTTCTCTATATCCACGTTCGATTGTCCTTGTATAGGAATGTAGAGAAAAAACAATACCAAAATAGCTAGTATGAGATATTTATTTTTCTATAATATATTATCGCTTTTATCTCTATATCATTCAATGTGTTGACGGAAAACTATAAAGAAAATGCATATTTTCCTTGAATGTAAGTAAGATGTACATACTTATTAAATTAGAATTTTTTCTTACTCATTCATATATCATTTGTTAGATTTCATTTCAAGCATGTAGATTTACTTAAAAAACTTTCGAGAAATTAGATAATTGAAATGTAACATCGTTGCACATGAATTTGCTTTATTTTCGGCAAATTATCGAATTTCAAGTATATTTTTTTTTTAAATTTCTCAGAAATAATTGTTATAATAACATTAAGTATATATCGGAACATATTGTTTTATCATGTGTTACGTTAGAGCCTAGAATTTCCACAAGAAAATATGCTATGAACATCGCAATCAAACGTTATTTATACATGACCTTTTATAGTTTCTTCAAATCATCTAATATGTCTAGATGAAATGTGCTGGTATTGTACCGTGTGAATCGGTATATAGGAAAAAAGTGCGGATAACAAGTATTACTTGAGTCACATATTTGACAGAACTTCATTAATTAAGTACATATAAATTAAACGTATTCATATTCGTCAATTTGGCATTTACCGTAAAACGAATTCTAAATTTTAAAAAAATATATGTGATTTCTATATTTGTTTTTTTTTGCTAGAATAGATTTTGTAAAAGAAATCAATATTTTTCGAAATTATACATAGAGTGTCAAAAAGCTTTCATTAAATAATGAAAATTCGTTCTGTTATGAAGAAATTCGATCAAATTCAGAGTGAAAATTAATACTGATGGTCTATTCGAATAATTATCTAAGAATAGGATAAAAAATTGTTCATCGACCTCTTTTATTTATAGAAAAATAACATTATTTTTTATCTAAAAGTCACTGGAAAAAAGGAATTTTACTAATAGAATTGTCAACTTTTATTATCTATCTTGTATGCAAAGTGAACATTTGCGTTTGTTTAGGTTGTTTTTGAAATATATCATAGGTACGTTGATATAAAAGCTACTTTTAACATATATAGTGAAAAAGAGAAAATTTTTTTTACAAAACAGCTCTAAAAAACTAACATTTTTAAATGGAAATTATTGTAAACTACAGTGATTATATTTCTTAATTGACATTTCATATATATTGTAGTTTAAAAACTTTTTAGTGTTCAGATAATAAGATATTTTACAAAAACAAAGCATCAAAATTTGTTTGGCAAAAGCAAAAGTGCAGAATCTACCAGTGTGCGCTAACGCGAGTTGGGAGAAACTTCTGGAAAATTGTTGTGGGTGTGGATTAAGAAAAGAGCAGCTACATCCGCACCCTGTATTAACTTTGTTTTCCCTTAAAAGGACCAAATGTTGCACAGATACTTCAGTACGCCTAGAAAATTTAGGTGAAGACGTTTCTTTTCTTTTTGCTCTTCACTGTTGGCTTTTGGAAAAATTGGGGGCACATTTATGGGTACTGTTTGCTAAAAATGAGAATCTTTTTACTTTGATAGTGGGGAAATTTTCTGAAGGATCTTTTTGCGTTGGGAGAAATTGTTTATTTTAACGGGAGATCCTGCACCTCTAGAATAAACATAAGTATTGCTTGTAAACAATCATGCTTTTACTCAGCAGTCATATTGAATATTGAAATATCTGCAGACTTCTGTAGTTCATTGATTTTTTAAATTTCTAATTGTTTGAGTATATAAACTCGAGTTCTATTCGAAAATAATGAATTTAATGATTGAACATATAATCCTAGTCTTATCGATTTCTTAAAAGTAACTTCTGATTTTCCCAAGTTACTATGAAAATTAAATTTGAATTAATAAGTAAAATTTTTTGCAATGCATTAAAAAAATATTGTATTAAGAAAGAAAAGACAGCCATTTCTCTTATAGTAATTCATTATGATATTAAATACGTATATCAGCGTAGAGAAGAATAGGATAGTTAGATTTATAATCACAATTCATGACGGCACCCAAAAGTCATGCATACATCAAAGAAAATATTCAATGTTTATCGATATTCAATTGTATACCATTAGAAACTTGACTATTCTTACCATTTACTTGAGATCATAACAGTCTAGACATTTTTGAACTATATGAGAAGTAAATGCCGAATCTTCTGTTCATGTCATTACATATCCATACTCTTTTGTAGACCTATCTGTTTTTGTGAATACATGCCAAACTAAATAAATAAACAGAGACAGATGATTGTCAGCATATATAAATGATTAAGTACAGAATAAATACATTCGCGATGGTGAAATATTGCAATCTATACTGTACAATATACTAATTACAAAGGATGAAGTACACAGAGAGCATGAGAAGGCCGAGCGTATGTTAACATTGATTGGTAAAAAGTTGACGTCATTAACGATAGAAACGTGATATCAAATATACTAAGAGGTGGTCCACGGTCGAATTAAGCATATTTACTCTAGACTATCGAACGAAAAAATTTTAATTTACTGTCTCGATTATTGGCAATGAAAGACTATGTAAAAAGAAATCTATAAATCTAAAGGTTTAACTTGTTCGATTTATAACTTCTTTGCTTCTGTATACTCTTTCATTTTGAATGATCGAAAGGTTATATCAACATTTCTTTTTTTTTTTTTCGTATAAAATTTTTGATTCAATCCTGAACTGCCTCTCAAATGCGTAAAGAAAAGAATATTTGATCTTATATTTCTTTCGAATATCTTCACGCCATATTTACTGTTCAATTCATAGTACATTCGCTACTTCAAAGAAAAGATATTTACAATTGAAGGAATTATAGTCATGATATAAGTGCATTTTTTTTTCTAATTCTTAGTATTGACTTCTATATCCTTTACAAACTAATCAACCACGCTCTTTTGATTACAATGCTCTTTCTATATCCAACACTGATAGTTAATGTCTTTCAAATAGCGCTATTGATATATGTTGATGCTACGCAACAATCATCGAATATATCACGTCTATTGATTATTTCACTCGATGGTAAGATATAAAATAAAAGAATTTAATTATATTTTAAAAATAACTAACTTCGAAGGATTTCGACATAATTATTTACATGAACATAAGTTACCTACACTTAATCAATTTCGTAATGAAGGTGTACAAGCAAAACATGGCATGCGACCTACATTTCCTACAATGACATTTCCTAATCATATTTCACTTGCTACAGGTCAATAAATAAAAATATTAAAATGAATTATTTTATATCATCTTGTGCATATGAAATTTAGGAATGCATCAAGAAGAACATGGTATTGTACATAATACATTTTTTGATCGATTATTAAATATAACTATTGGAATGAGTACTTATTTATTTACTATTGAATAATGATTAATTAATTTTCATGGTTTCTAGATCATCGTGATAATCGACAATGGTCTGATCCAAAAGTAGAACCCTTGTGGATTACGGCAACTAAACAAGTATTTATTTAAGATTAAAAATGTATCAAAGAATTTCTCTCCACTATATTTAAGAATGTAAAATGTGCTGTTCTGTTTTGGCCAGCATGTCATAATGAATTTTATGGTATACGTCCACTTATCTATAGTTGGTTATACACTGATGATATATCTTTTCGTGAAAAAATTGATAATGCTATAAGTTATTTTCGTGAGTTACCAATTCAACTCGTTATGTTATATCATTTGTAAAGTTATTATATAAACTGAATGTTTTTTGTCATTTTCTTTAAATAATTGTTTTTTATTTAAGTGAGCCAGATAAACAAGGACATACATATGGTCCAGATTCACTGAAAGTACGCAATACAGTAAGTAATAATATACTAAAATAAGCTCATATGTTTGTTTTTTTCCGAAATTAAGTTAATTCGTCTTGATGGTGATATTGGATATTTACTGGATAAAGTAAAGCGTGAACTCAATGATAATTTAAACATTATTATACTTTCTGATCATGTATGTAAAATATATTTCTTTCTAAATTTGAATACGTTCAAAAAATTTTCGAAGGGTATGACTAAAGTCAAAGGAGTCATTCGACCATTTGTCGACAAATATCTTAATAAAAACTCAGTTGAAGCATCTATTCTTTCTGGTGCATTATTCAATGTAATGCCAAAAAGTGGACTAGTAAGCATATTTTATTCTTAAACGAATATCTATTTTAAATTAGCTATTTGTAAAAATAACATTATAACAGACTAAGGAAGTATACAATAGTCTTAGAAATATTCCTAATGTTACAGTATATAAACGTCATGAAGTTCCTGGACGTTTTCATTATTCAAAACCAGAACATCGACTTGGAAAAATTACTGTATTACCAAATGTAGAAGGTCTAATTCTATCTCAAGTAAATCTTTGGATATATCTGATAGCAGATTCTATATTTTTAATTAATCTTTAGGCTACAAAAAATACATCTTATGAAAAAAAAGGTAATCATGGATGGGATAACACATTAGCATCAATGCAAGCTATATTTATGGCTCGTGGTCCTTCTTTTAATATAAATGTTTCAATTCGTTCACTTCATAGTGTTGATATTTATCATGTTGCATGTCACATTCTTAAACTTCATCCAAATCCTCATGCTACTGCCGGTTCAATTGTTCATCTTATTGATATTTTCCGCCCGACTGAAAATGCAACGACACTAAGTACACTGACATCCACTAGTGAGACAATAGTAAGATTAACAACAACGATAAACAATGGTTGTTACTTTTATTCCATACAATTATCTACTGTTCTATTTGTTTTAGTATTATTTTCTTTCTCTTTTTAAAGGATATTCGAATAAAGAAAAAAAAGTATTTTTAAATCACATTCAAATTCAATCATGAATATTATTAATTCTAAATTTTTTTAAAGTATCAATACTAAGCGAACTTTGTAATTATCTGCTAAATGAAAATATTGGTTGTCCAATTAATATAAATGTTAAATTTAAGCGAAAATTATAAGTAGTGTTCGTATCAGTGGAATAATTAAATGACAGTAATAGTTAACGAATTATATAATGATACATCAAACAAATCTTTCTATAATTGATTATCCTTGAAAAACATGCGAAAGAAGTCATGGACAAATATAAGCTGTCATCTAAATAAAATTTTATTTTGACTTCACCTCATACTACCACACTAATACATCAAAGTAACAATTGCATTGATTTATTCTCTCGCTTCTCTCATTGTGAGTTCGAGGTATATATCATTTAAGAAGAAGAATTTTTATCAATATTTACTAAGGGTATGAAACAACGTATAGTAATTTCTATAAAAAGCTACTATGCAACTATTCTATATTGAATAATATCAATATAAGACAACAAAATTTTCAATATTCATCCTACATTCTCCTATCAGTAAAGAAACATAGTAAGCTTGCTTCTTTATTTTTTATCGTATAGCATTCTTTCCCTTTTTCATTTGTAGTACAAATATTCGAAGACAGATCGAATAAATAGTACACTAAGGAATAAATGAACAGTACTCAAAAAATCTCCAATCATTGGTTATTTGCGTATATCGTAGTTGAGGATGTAGATGTGAATATACAGATAAAAGCCACATCCACAGACATCTACATTGCATCCGACAAATAAATTAAATTTTTGAAAACTATCGTTGTCGAAATATGTTTTTCTATCTTTTCAGGATATTTAGGTAAATACCCAAAATCCTATATTCATGAAATGCCATATTTATATACAATTTGTCTTCTGTGTGGGAATACACGTCAGCAATAACAATAGACAAATAAATGTAAAGCAATGTAATCAAGATAGATGAAGACATATTCAATGAAAATCTGAATAAACTGGAACTCTATTCATGAACAGAAAAATACCTAAAGAAATACGCTGTCTAATAGAATGTAAATTATCGTAAAATTTACGACGAAAATAGAAGTGAATTAACAGTAATTAATGAGTTTGGACGTGACTATTGATCAACGTCGACTACTTGGTGATATACACATAAATGTTATATATATATCAAATGTTCAATCACACACCCGATACATTAGAAGCTAACACAGTTATAAATATGATTATGTTTATTTGCAATCTTGACTGCCCTTTATTAATTTTTGTCTATTAGTATCAATCGAGATTATTTCTCGGCTTCGCCATAAGTGTATTAGGAAAAATCAATATGCTTTTCATTCTTGTTCAGATGTTCATTGATATCCATCAAGAATACTTGGCAGACAAGTCTTACTCCAAATCTACCAATATATTGTTGGAAATCATGACAACGTGAGACAGTATTTGAACAGAGCTTTTATATTTTGAACATACACTTGATATTAAACACCATTCATTACTTGCAAATCATCCTATGGTTGGAAAGGTGTGAGAAAGCATTGAAAATGTAAAAAAGACATTATGAATTCAATTTAATTCATTTTCAAAAAAAAGGCGGATATTTCCATTTTCGAATCCTTCCGATTTAGTTATGTAAGCATACATTCAGCACTGGTACGTGTGCGCGCGAGTTGGATGGTCATTGCAATAACGGATGCAATCAGACAGTTCTAAATATCCTGTTTCAATAAGAATTAATAAGAAATTCAATTATCAAGTAAAGTGAAAGATCTTAGCGAAAACTTTGTTTAAATACAACATATACAAAATTAAAACAAACTAGTTTTATATTATTTAGAATCATTCGATATATGAAGAATTAAAATTAAAATTTAATAATAATCTCTTCAAAAAGCAAACAAAATATGTTTCTTTTTGATTCTAATGAAAATGATTAAAAAAATTTAAATTAATCTATTATCTTCATCTTTTTTTTTCAAATGTGTGTATTCAAAAANTTACGCTTTTTTTTTCTATTTACTAATGTTAAAAATTAAGTTTTGGTCAATCGAAAAAAAAATATCGGAGTCGAACTTGTAACCGACTCCGACTCCGAATCCGAAAATTTTTTTCAGCAAACTCGACTCCAACTCCGACTCTGTCGGAGTTGGAGTCGGAATCGGGTTTCGGAGTCCTCCGCAGGTCTCTAGTCAAAATAGACCCCCTTAAACTTGTTTTAGCTCTCATTTTTCATAGGTAAAACCAAATGACCTAATATTTTGGATTTAACTATAGTTTACTTAGACCTATCATTTAAGAAAACAAAATTGAAAAAAAAATTTTTTTCCTCGGCGACCTCTATGGAGAGTAGGGCGGTCTTCTCGTGGACCCTCTCTTAAGATAGAAATAATATTATCACTGTGTATTGTTTATGCATATCTTGCTGTGCTTAGACAAGAAAAAGAAACTTTTGAGGTAGTGAGCAGTTCATGTCATTCAATATATTTTTATAAATATTTGATTCAAACAAGTAAGCAACTACTTATCATTAGGGAATCAACAGTTCATGATATTTTAAATACGATGAGATTTGCACGAGCACCCATTAATCATATGCTAATGAAAAATTAAATCAATGTGTGAGTTCCTTTTATTCGATTCAATAGTCAGAGGACAAAAAACTTAAAGCTCTATACACATGTTTCTAACAGAGTAGCTAGCACAATTCGAATATGTATGTAGTCCATTTTTACGTATCGTCCTGTAGAAAACATTATACTTCTAAAATATACATCTTCTATTTGATAAGGATTTTTTGACTTCTGTTACCATAAACTAGTCTTTTAATAAAACATGAACTGTGCCTTTCAATAGAGTTTTTGTCATCTTTATACAGACGATTATGGTGAAAAATATTGGCAATGGGTTGACATAGAAATACTAGATTTCATACTACTTATTTACTTCTGATATCAACTTTTCCACTTTGCTTGCTTGTTTTCATTACCAATATTGAAATAAATGTTGATCAGTTTTTTCTACTTTCTCTCTTTTATTTACTATTTCTAACATATTGGACTAACATTTAACATTGATACAGCCAATTTAGCTTTAGTTTCTTGTGCATGAATAGTAGTATTAATCTTCATTCGGAATTTAGCAATAAAGATGAAATGTAGATATGGACGAATTGTTCTCGTATTGTACGGTTCGAAGGAAATCAAAAAAAGAGTTTCCAAAAGTATAATAACATAAAACTTGAAAGAGTTTATGAGCAGAACAACTTCTTGGTATCTCAGGTCTAGTCCTCTTACATTGAAAGATAATATATGTAAAGATTTTTCGATCAATGAGGTGTCAGAAACATTGAAAACTTCTCATTTTTTGAAACAGTTGGAAAGGAGGGGGGGGGAGCTTTTCCACTCGTGCAAAATTTCAGACAACAGAGAAAAATCAAAGTGACTCAGACACGCTCGCGCTTTACATAAGAATCGTTCTCGATCATCTAGAACATTTTGGGGAACACAAGAAAAAAATGACGTGGCTAGAGGAGATAGATTCATTGAAGTTGATTACCATCGCTTGCTTTCCGTATTTGTGCACGAATTCTATTAATAGTTGAGTTAAAATCAGCATCATTAACACCACCAGCAGTTTTAAAATTGGAATTCAAAAGAGAGAGAAATCTTGATATTTCATCCAAACACGATAAAACTAATTTTGTAAACATCTGTTCATGTCTGATGATTTTCAATTCGTGTTGGGCGATATTTTTATTCGACGTTTCATCCTTTTTCCTCAGCTCCTCTATTACGTTCATCAATTTCTCATCACTTATTATTTTATCTTTAATCTATTGTTCGATCTCATTATTCTTTTTTGCAATACGTTCAAGATTCTTGTTCATTTCACCTGCATTTTTCAATAAATCATCGATTTTCTTCATCATCGAGTTCGTTGTGCCTGATATCGAAGGTAGTTGTGATGAGGGAAGCATTGGAAAATTTGCTACATTGTAATTATAAATGTTATTATTGTTTCTTAACGTTTGTAAATTCGAGTGATGATTGAATGATAACAATTTTTTTGTCAAAGCAGAACGATAGTCTTTCACGACTAAGCACTTGCGGCTGTTGGAAAGATGATCACCTCCACAATTGACACACTTGTTTTGTAGAGAGCAGGTGTGTTGCTTGAGATCAGGACAGCGAACACCACATATCTTGCATGTGTCTTCTATTTGTGAACATTGACGACGAAAGTGACCAATTGCTTGACATTTACTACAGATGAGTACTGTAACGGGACTAAGGTACTCATCGACGTCGTAAGTCATCGAGTTAACGTTGATTTTTCCTCTTTCCAGAATTTCTTCACGTTTTTTAACTGATAATATTTCTACTTTAATCACTTTGATTTCGTTTTGGAATTTGTTTTTCGGACGAACAATATTATGAATTCCTGGAAAGGAATCTTTGAGATCAGCAGTAAATTCATTGAAGTCTATTCGTAAGTCGACATTTATAATGACTAACGAGAGTTGAGCTGGAAAGGAAGGAATAGGCTGCAGCGTAAAATTTTGTTTGCCCAGTTGCTGAGGCCAGTTTCTTGATTCAACAAGAGCACAGAATGATAGAGTCTTTCACATAGACTAAATGATTATATTCGTTATTAAAACATTTCAAAGTGGAACGTCGAATATTAGAAAATGACACATTTGTTTGATGTACATCCTTAAAATGCTTTCCCTAGTCGAACATCTTGTAAGCAAGATCTTGGCCAAGATCTTAGGTACAGAAATGTAAACAGATCTTGGAAATTTAGGTACAAGATAATATGATTATTTTGCACCAGATCTTGAATTAGATCTTAGGTACAGACATTTAAGATCTTGCCCATGAAAAAAGAATTTGTATAAAAACGCGTTCCAACGCAAACTTTCAGAGAAAAAAAGCTGTTTTTGCGTTTAAACGCATCTTATTTTATCTGAGACGCATCTCAACGCATCGGTTTTCGTTTAAAGCGCGTTTAAATGCATTTTTTACATTTAGAACGCGTTTATTTGTTATGTATCTTGGTGCATTTTTTTATTTCTTTCGCTGAAAAGATGATCTCTTTACAAATGCACCCGAACGCATATTTTTCAAAGCGTTTTTTTACTGGAAAACGGTTTTCCTAATAAAGGTTTCCGAACTTGTATTTCAATTCATGCGTTTTCTTGTAAAAATGAGGCTTTTACAAGCACTACGGAATGGATTTTTACATATGGATGGCAAAGAATACATTAAAAATAAGCGTGTCAATTTTTTTTCTTGTNCTTAGTTTCTCGAACAATTCAAAGATAGGAGATGCGGGGATTGAATATTTGGTTCATTTATTTAAAAAAAACCGATCGATAACTTTTCTCGCCTTACCCAATACAGGTATGACAGATCGTGGAGTTCGGTTACTAGCCGACTTACTTTGTGAAGTCGATGCTAATTTACCTTGTCCACCAATCGAAAAACTGTACATCTCGTTCAATAAGTCGATTACTGACGAATCAATGGTAGCTGTTGTTCAAATAATTGAACAAAACCGAACATTGAAGGTATTGTATTGTATTGTAAATACCCTTACCTCACTGGTTTAGGGTGAAGACATTTAAACGTACAAAAAACTACACACAAGCAAATAGAAAAAAGGAAAGAAAAAAAAGAGGAAATAAGAAAGAAAAAGTTCATTAAACAATGTTCGGTTCTTTCGTCGATCAGTTCGAGTGTTGTAGCTGTTGTCCGAATAAGACCTCCAAACCACGGGAGTTTGGTTTCAGTGTTATCCATCATTGAGGCATACAACGCGGGAACCTAGCTTTTTCAACAAGTCAGAGAATCTCTAGTCAAATGAGAAACCCTTCTTCTCGCACCAATGTTTCGCACATGACTTGACATGGTTCGTTATTCCTTGAGGTTTGAAGTCTTTTTTGCAATTTGGACAGGTATAAGTTTTGTTGGTATTCTTTGGTATCAGTTCAGTGATCTTTGGGGCTGGAATAGTTGCTCGCCTCGTCTGTGCTCGTTGTTTGACCTGCTGAAGGATATCTGGAATGTTTGAGGCAGGAGGTCTCACCTGAGTACACTGATTGATTGCAGCTCGCCAGGAATCATGATTGAGAGTTTCTCTTCGCCAGTTTTGAATGTTCATCTTCTTCAGGTCGGCTGTTATCATATCTTGCCATTTCTTCCTCACGCCAGCGTTGAGTGGCCGCTTTGAATTAGGATAAGTAGAGAACATTGCTTTTTTGACGATACAGGGATCGCCGTTGTCGTCGACCATACGATTCACATGACCAAACCATCGGAGTCGGTTTCTTCTCAGAATTTCTTCAAGACTTGGTTGGCCGGTGACTTGTAGGAGTTGTTCATTTGACATTCTATCTCCTAGGTTGATACCCAGGATTGTTCTAAGGCAATGATGGTAGAATACAGATAAACGACGTTCCATTTCTACGGTTAAGGTCCAGGTTTCACTGCCATATAGGAGAACTGATAGAACACAAGCACGAAAAATTCGTAATCGAGCATTAATTGAAACAGTTTTGCGATACCATACGACGTGTCTAAGCATATTGAATGAAGTGGATGCTTTTGCCAGACGGACATCAATCTCTCTCGTCAAAGAATAGTCACGAGTAAAGTGGCTTCCAAGATAACAAAATTCGTTCACCATTTGAATAGTTTCATTTCGAATGTTGATGTCGATGGGAGGGACTGGCACTTCTTGTCCTTTGATAACTTTTCTTGAAGCATCTTCTTGTAGTTGTTGCATTGGCATTGTGCAAGTCTTCTTGATACTTATCGTTAAACCCATTTGTTGTGACACTTCTTCAAAGGTTCGTATAAATGATTCGAGGTCCAGAGCATTGTCGGCACATACTATGACATCGTCGGCGTAAAGAAGAGCCACAAGTTCCAGTTCCGAGTTGTCATTGAAAGAAGATAAGAAGAAGTCTTTACCATAGGATAATTTTACTCCAGTCACATTTAGAGCAGCTAATTTTTCTAAAACTCGCCGAATAACAAAGTCGAAGAACACGTTGAAAAGAATAGGAGATGGAATACCACCTTGAAGTACACCAGTCTCAATGTCGAAAGATTCTGAGCGCTCGCCATTGATTTGAACCATTGCTTTTGAGTCTTTGTATAGAAGTTTTAGAAGACGGACAATTTTTTCAGTGAGACCATAGTGTCGACAGATTTCCCATAAAAGTTCGCGGTTGACAGAATCATAGGCTTTCATGATATCAATGAAGCACAGGAAGAGAGGCTTATTGTAATCACGGGTCTTCTCCATTAGCATTCGGAGTGTAAATATGTGGTCGATAGTAGATCTTTTCGATTGAAAGCCAGCTTGTTCCTCCAGCAGTTGTTGTCCGAGTTTGGCTTGTACCCGATTGAGAATTATTCTTGAGAACACTTTGCTAGCAATTGGTAGAAGGGAAATACCACGATAGTTACCACAATCTTTTTTGTCACCTTTGTTTTTGAAAAGACGAATAAGTATAGCTGTTGACCAGTCATCTATTGCTTCTTCATCTTCCCATACATCGACAAAAATTTGATGAAGTCGTCTTGCCAAAGTTCGTCCACCAGCCTTGATCACATCTGCAGGAAGGCCATCATGGCCAGCTGCTTTTCCGCTCTTCATTCTTCTGATTGCTTCTTCAACTTCGACCAACGTCGGTGGTTTGTTTTGTCTTTGTTCTTCTTTGGATGCAATGGGTGGAGGTTGAATTTGGTGGAGGATGGTTGGATCAGTAGTAGATGGTACATTCAGAAGGTCGGAAAAGTATTCGCGCCAGCGGTCAAGACGATCGTTTGAATTTGTCAGCAAGTTTCCATATTTGTCCCATATTGGCATTTCTTCTATCTTTGCTCGACCACCCTTGAGACGTCGAAGCATTGCATAGGCAGTTCCTAGATCATGTTGTTTCACGGCCTTTTCAATTTCCAAACTGAGTTCATCCCAGTATTCAATCTTTCTTGCTTCAATCTTTGTTTTGACTTCTTTTCTAAGGAGACAGTATTGTTCATGATACTCCTTTACATACCGTGTTTTTCGATAGTTTTGCCATTTGAGGAAGGCTTTGGCTTTTCTTTCCACAATTTCCAAAATCTCGTTGGTCATCCATTCTTTGTGTTTCTTTTGTTTTCCATCTTGAGCAAAGAATTGCTGACTGAGATCCGTAACAGTGGTCACAAAATCATTGTACTTATCGTTGGTGGAGATATGTGGTTGTAGGGATGAGGATGAAGAAGAAAGAGCCGCTTGAAAAGCTTGAACAATTGAAGGATCTCGCAATTTTTTCTTATCCAGGCGTCTTGTTTGTTGTTGTTGATCTGTTTTTCTTCGACTTCTAAGGTGAAACTTGAGCTTGGTTCGAACAAAATGATGATCTGTACCAATAGTTCCCATACAGCTTCGTAGGACACGTACATCTTCTACACTTGACCGAAATTTCCGATTGACAAGAGTGTAGTCCAGCATATGCCATTTTTTGTTTCCAGGGTGCATCCAAGTTGTCTTGTGTACTGTTTTATGTTGAAAGAATGTGTTGGATATAACAAGATCGTTGTTGGAGCAAAAGTCTATCAGCCGTTGTCCATTTTCGTTGAGTTCATCGACTGCATGAGGACCGACAACACTAGAATAAGAGAGATGTTGTTGATTGCCCACTCGAGCATTGAAGTCACCCATGATGAGGACCATATCGCCGGGAGGGGCTTTGTTGTACGATTGTTGAAGATCGACATAAAAAGCATCACATTCGTCGGCTTTCTGGCTGGATTGAGGGTTAACTGGGGAGTAGATGGCTATGATAGTTATGTTGATTGGATGACATTGCAATCGTGCCATGATGATTCGTTCACTAACGGCTTCCCATGTCGATCCAGATTGTTTCCACAATGCTGTTGCTTGCTTATCGAGGACGATGGCAACGCCATGAGCTGATCTTGTTGAAGACGAAGTAGGAGCACCAGAGTAGAGAAGGGTATAAGGGCCGATTTTGGAGACTCCAGAGTCGTAGATTGCTGTTTCACTGACAGCTGCAACACGGATTCGATGTTTCTTCAATTGATTGATGATAAGTTCTCTTTTTGCTTGTTGAAAACACGATCGAACATTCCATTGTCCAAAGAACGAGGATTTGCGTGCGCTAATGCACGGTGCCTTGTCTTTTTCGTTAGCTAGATGAGTTTAATGTCCCCCTAAACAGGTAGCTAGCCTGAGAGGAAGACGAAAGGTGGCTACCGGCAGCCCAGGGACGCCTCCCACACTCTACGAGTAGAGGTGAGACCCTGTGGATGTCAAAAGACATTCCCCGGCAGGCGGACATTGAAGGTACTCTCTGTGGAACACTGCAGCTTTTCTGGCGAAGTTCGAGGACTAATGAGAAAAGCAGGTAGAAAAAGGAAGACAAAGAATTTTAGTCTTTCAGAGTGAAAAAGTTTATGTGAACTATATTCCTTTTATCTTGTTCTTGTTTTGTCAATTTTTAACTTAAGAAACACAGTGACGCTATTTTTTGTTATTTTTTC